TCAACTGCTGTTGTTTTCCTTGGCTGACCTGTACTATGTCTGGTTGTTGGTACACCAGTTGTTTCCTTCTTTTTTAGGTCATTCCAAATTGTTGTTATGGCTATGCCCAATGCTTGTGCCACAGACAGCTCTTCATGTTGGTTTATCCTTTTTTAACAACAAATGCAGTCACAGGCCAAACCCAAAGCTCAAACCAAGAGCAGACATTCAGGGCTATTAATGTTCAAACAACCACTCTAACAGGGCACACTTGGGCAACACATTCCAATAGTTTTCTCACTTGTAAAACGGCTAGGTTTAAACAAAAGGTGCCATATTTGAACTTGTTGAAAACATTTAGATGTAAATATCAAGAAACAAACACTGAAATTCTGATGTTTGGTTTCATATTCATCTTTAATCTCAAACCCAAATGTTTTCAGTGCACAGCAAAAACAAAAGGCCTGGCCTTGCCATTCCAACATATTCAAAGAAGACTGTATATCAATTATTAGAATTTTTTGCTCCTTCAAATTGGTATCAGACACAAATTACAAAATTTTTACCTTAGTAATCAGACTATTTTGATTCTCAAGAGGAAACCCGCCAAACAGTGTCGTGGTGAGAGTAAGGTGAAAAAAAAAGGAAGCAACACCTTCTTAAATGGCTTCAGATAAAGTAATGTAGAATGCTGAAGTGAACTGCGACCAGCTCAGCCGTTAAATGAGGTAGGCATGTTTGTGTGTGTGTGTGTGGGTGTGTGTGTGTGTGTGTGTGTGTGTCGCTAATGCTGATTGACGGAGCCAGTGAAGAGAGGAGAAAGAGATAACTGCATCCATCTCTCAGGGAGAAGAGGAGGTCATATGACCCGCGATAAGAACGACAGCGCCTCCGGAGGGATCGCGGCGCACCCACACACCCACTCAGAGTTCTGTGGCCATGGCAACAACCACAGATCTCATGACACCTGCCAGGATGATAAAGTGTGTAATACACAAAGTATTTGCATCGCATATGGGGCAACATCGACATTAAAGCTATCGATTCTGGATTCTGCCGTTTTCGTCCTTTTGTAGTATGTGGGTCAGAAGATTTAACTGGGTTGATTCATACTGAACACCAGAGTTTACAGTTTCTCAGTTTCACAATTTCCGCTCTTATTCATTTGCTTCTTTGGTTTCGCACTGGAGCAACAAGGCTAATGTAGCTTACAAGTAATGGAATCTTATGTTCAGGACTAAGAATTGTGCTAATTGCATGCCTCAACCAAACACACTTACCTAAAACTGTGTGAAGTTGTTAAGAAATCTCAAATAGACCCAGTCGTTATTATTACCTTCACCCGTGTCTTGTCTATGCCTATATCTCTTTGCGTACCTTAGTTTTCACATGGTATTGATGTTACATCAAGTCAGTTGATGCTTCATTCCAGTTTTTTTGTGTTTAAAGTCAGTCGGTCTGTTTGTTTTCCTGTTTCTCATTCTTCATCGTGTTTTTCTAGCCTAGCCTAACTACTTTTCTACTACAGTTTTTAGCTATAAAACTACTTTTGTCCATTTTTTATAGATAACTGTATGTTACCCAGTGTAAGAAACCACATAAGCAAGTCTATATGACATTACTTAACAACGAAATGTGGCAAGACATAGTGTAATGATTTATTACCAATTGCTTATTGGTGCTAATTGCTAATTGGTGGGGTATAAGCTACCATAAAGTTTTTTTTGTTTTTGTTTTTTTTTAATTCTGAATTTGACACATACTTGCTGGCAGAATACTATGTTGGAGAGACAAAGAAATTTGTTGGAGATAATGAAACCACTGAAAATAAGAAATGAGACGCAAGTCAGCCGATGAGAAGATTCCATTCGGTTAGCGCTAACTTGAATACCATCACCACTGTCTAGCTATGCAACTCTTGTGCATTAAAATTAGCTACTGCCACACAGAGTTTGTAAGTATGTGAGTGGGGTGGGCTTCAACTTCATAGTGCCCCCTCACTATTTATGAAACCAGATCTTTTCCCATGCATTCCTTTCAGTGGCTAGGAAATGTCATGGTTGACCTAGCTTTGCTAAGGGTGCTAACTGAAGACTTACAAGATTTACAATCACTGAACTTGACAGTCTTCAACAAAGCAGTCAGCCAACATACATGGTTTGCTAGCAAAGAGGACTGACAGGAAAGAAGTGGGCTGGGCCTTCACGAACTGGAGAGAAATCAGAGAGTGTGGAGTTTTCTAGCACTAAGTTGGCTAAGCTAATGAATCACCCACAGGGAGGATAAAGAAAGACTCGCTGCTTACTGCTCACTCAACAGTGCAGCTAAAACAGCCAGTTGGAGCAACTCCTGATTGGGAAGAGCTGAGAGAATTTTAGATTCGAGGAGAATGGAGGACATTCTTTAATGCAGAGTCGTCATAGTAAATGTGATGTGCCTCATCAAGGCTGCTGTTATGTTAATTCAAGTGTCTGACGGTATATAATTCACAGTGATAAATCTAGCATTTAAACAGAATGTGGCGGTGCCCGAGCCCTGAAGCTGCAAGAGGCATGCTAGAGGCTTGAGCACTGTTGAGAGCTGCAAGAGGTGGCATAAGGACGGTGCCCGAGCCCCGACAAAAGCAATGAGAGGCGATGAGAAGATGGTACCCATGTCCTGATGAGAGCCACAAGAAGCGGCATGAGGATGGTGCCCTAGCCCCAAGCGCCGACAGTGCCCTAGCCCCAAGCCCCGACGGTGCCCTAGCCCCAAGCCCCGACAGTGCCCTAGCCCCAAGCCCCGACGGTGCCCTAGCCCTAAGCCCCAACGCTGCCCTAGCCCTAAGCCCAGAGTGGCATGAAGACAGTGCCCAAGCCCCAACGAGAGGCAGTGTAAAGACAGTGCTCAAGCTCTGAGCACTGACGAGGGCACGTGAGTGATATGACGGCCCAATACTTTACTAAGACACCTTATAAGACACTTTTCACTGCTCATGAATGAATGTGATGCACTGATAAATGTCTTGACCTTTAAGTATACTTCACAAAATTTGCATATATTATAATACAGGGAAGATATAATTTAGGATTAAACAACACATAATGCTTACTTGCTGGTATTTTAGGGTTTCCCAATCTCCCCATAGTGATACAATTGCTCCACCTTTGTACAAGTTACTAAGCTGAAATTGAAAAAGTGAGCGACTGGGAAACCCCGCTTGCACAAAACATGACGTGTTTCAAAGACACATATCCCAAAACAGTCTTAATCTGACAGCAAAAGCTCCAGGAAGAAAACAAGCATCCAATTTAATCTCACAGCAGGCGAGAACTTCTTGTTTGCTTGTGTCTGTGTTCCACACAACTCAATTAAAGAAGTGCCAAAGAAAACGAGCAAAACTGAGGTAAGGTATCCAGATAGCCTGGTCACTAGCTTGCCAACTGTAGCTTTTAGCTTGCTGTTCTCCTCATCTCACGTGTCGTTTCTGTCGTTCAATCATCTTTCAAGCAGCAAAATTAGATTTCTGGTTTCAGTCGGCATTTGCCAAAGACGACGCCCCCAAAAATTCACCCCAAAGCAGTTGTAGTTGTTCAAAAGTTCCAACCTCTGAGATTCATCATTAGAAGGGGATTTCCTAGTCTTTTATGACACCACTGTAGGAGACGAGTGAGCAGGTTAACAAGAGATGTGTCAATGGTTAAATCTGTCACTTCAGCCAGAGTCAATTAAAGGTTATTTCTATAATTGACTAATCTATCGAATACTATTTGATTATTCAAACCATTAGGCCTCATGGTGTTCAAAGCATTAGCACCATCATTTAAAAGCTGCGTCCCAATTCAGGGGCTGCGTACTTCGAAGGCCGCATTTTGAAGGCGGATTGCGTCACAACGGCGCGACTAGGCTGTCCCATTTCGAAGGCTCCTTCATATGCGGCCGAGAAATGTGTCCTTCTTTTCCATGGCAACAAAGGATCCAATGGGCTAATCCTTTGCCAGCCAACGCACTCCAAGGTTCATTGCGTGCCGGCGAGGATTCGAGAACATGGCGGCATCGACAGAGAAGCGAACGGCGGCTGAGGAGACACTTTTAAAAGTATGTTTTGGGTTTAAAAGGCAAATACCTACAATACAAATGTTCAAAAAACAATGTGGTCTAAAACAAAACTTATGCTAATGTTTCGTTTTGTTTGAGAGAACAAGGAGCAGACAGAGAGAAGCATCTCCATCTCTTATGAATGAAAAAATAATAAACAAAAAAAAACAGAATCAAAGTTTCTGGCTCCATCTTTAGCGGTAAGGGTGCGAAAAGCAGTGACGCAAACTGAAATCCGCCATAGAGCAGACCATCTCATTTCAGTTCAGCCTACGCAGGACACACCTTCATAGACTGCGTCCGTTGAAGGACGCAGTCTATGAAGGTGTGTCCTGCGTAGGCTGCTCAGACCCATGAAAGCTGAACCGAAATGAGATGGTCTGCACTACGGCGTATTTGCCTCACAGCACCGCTGTTCCCGCCCTTACGGTTGCGCCACCAAACACTGCTTTTGTCTTATTTTTGTTTATTTTTTTTTTTAGATTTGTATGGTTAGCCATTCGCCTCAGTTTAAACCTAACGCTTATATTTAAAAGTGTCTCTTCAGCTGCCGCTCGCTTCTCTGTTGATGCCGCCATGTTCTCGAATCCTCCCGGCACACAATGAACCTCGAGATATGTTGGCTGGCGAAGGATGCTCCCGTTGGATCCTTTGTTGCCACTGGAAAAGAAGGACACATTTCTCGTCCGCATATGAAGGAGTCTTCGAAATGGGACAGTTTTGTTCATGCAACAATTTCTCCTTTCAAGGTACGACAATACAAAAGGAGCCACATGGCCCCCTACGCTTCCTGTAGGGTATTGCAAGTTGTCAGAATGGCCGATCATGTGAACGTTACTTTGCGCTTTTGCTTTTTAAACAAACGACACGTCAGTGTGTTGACTTTTCTTGCATAATTGTCAGCTAATCTTTGCACTCCTACAACACACAATGCACACTCTTACCTGGTGGAGAACTGGCCTGCCCTGGATGGTGGGATGTCATCCTTCAGTCTGTCCATGCTTCCACCTTTCACGGTCAGCACATGGCCGGCTCCCTGTTAAAACAAATACGGTCCGGTTCACGTCACTGAAGCTTCAGCTGAAGACGCCGATTCAAAAAGAACCCAAGCTAGCCATAGTGGCCATTAAACAAAACTGGATATCAAACATAGCAAGAACGAACAGCGCAATTAGCGGCTGTAACTGCATGTATTTGGTTGTCCCAGTCAGCGGCTCCCAAATACGCTGTCATTCGCTCTGGCCGTTACCCTCTCTCTCTCACTCTCTCACTCTCTTGCTCTCTCTCTTTCTAATGGCCCAGGCCACAAAGAAGTGCTGCCCAAGGGTGAACCACGAAAGAGAAAGTAGCAAGTCACAAACTAGCAAACGAATTCAGAAAAAAAAAACAAACAAGGTGCGGTCACTGTCACTGCAAAGCTGCTACTAAGGATGGCCTGACAGACTACGTATCCCCCACCCACCACACATGGGACCCCCACTCTCACACAAAAAGTGACCTAGATTAACCACCACGCGATTATCCCCCCGCTAGGCCACATGCTACTGCTGGTGGTGGAGCTATTGTTATTGTGCATCCTTGCTGTGTTTTCATATTTAAGTGCACTCAGCTCAAATGAGAATGGGGAGGGGGGTAGTGAGAGGTGGGGAGGGGGGTAGTGAGAGGTGGGGGGGGCAAAGAGATATTTGTACGGTTGTATCTCTGGCTAGCAGTACAGAAGACTTTGGGAATTAATAGAAAAAAAAAAACAAGTGCAACTTTGCTGAACACTATTTATAAATATTGAAAATCATGGATATAACATAGGTCACGGAGGAAGTGCCACACTGGAGGGCTAATGCAAGCAGACATACACTATATGGCCAGAAGTATGTGGACATCTCTCTTAGTTATTGATTTCAGACACGCTCATTGCTAACACGTGTATAAAGTCAAGCACATAGCCATGCAGTCTCCATAGACAAACACTGGAGGTACAATAGAGTGTCCTGAAGAGCTCAGCGACTTTGTCACAGGATGCTGCCTTTGCCACAAGTGAAATTTCTGCCCCGGCTAATCTGCCCTGGTCAACTGTAGATGCATGTAAACCATCTAGAAGAAAAACTGTGTGTCAGGGGCTGCATGAAATGGGTTTCCATGCCCAATCAGCTGCACACAAGCCTAAGATCACTATGGGCAATGCCAAGCGTCGGCTGGAGTGGTGTAAAGCACGACCCCACTGGGCTCTAAAGCAGTGCAAACGTGGTCTCTGAAGTGATGAATTCCATTACAATATCTGGAAGTCTGATGCATGAATCTGGGTTTGGTGGATGTCAGGAGAAGCTACGTACTGGAATGCACAGTGCTAACAGTGAAGTTTGGTGGAGGAGGGATAATGAGCTGGGGCTGTTTTTCAGGGTTTGGCCCACTTATTTCCAGTGAAGGGTGATATTAATACTACAGCATACAAAGACATTTTAGACAATTATATGCTTCCAGCCCTGTAACTCTGTTCCTTCACTTGACAGAGGATGTAGTACTAAGAGGCTGTGATTGGCTGAGAGGCATGTCAATAATTATTATGCAAATGGTCAACTGGACTTGCCACAAATGAACAAGTCTCTTCGTACACCAATCAGGCATAACATTATGACTACCTCCCTTTTTCTAAAAACTCCAGCAGCACTGCTGTGTCTGATCCACTCAGACCAGCACAACACACACTAACACACCACCACCACGTCAGTGTTACTGCAGTGCTGAGAATGATCCACTCTGTTAGGGTCCATGGGGGTCCTGACCACTGAAGAACAGGGTAAAAGGGGCTAACAAAGTATGCAGAGAAACAGATGGACTACAGTCTGTAACTGTAGAACTACAAAGTGCACCTATGTAGTAAGTGGAGCTGATAAAATGGACAATGATTGTAGAAACAAGGAGGTGGTCATAAAGTTATGCCTGATTGGTGCCTTCAGAGTTATATGCTGGTCTTCAGAGTTTCAGGCTGAATGTTTTTGGATTAGCTAGAAAACAGACATTAAGACTAAGACTATTCCCCATTATTTGGCAGAATGGAGGATGTGATTGAGGTTGTGCCTGTAATAAGATCACCCAGACCGCTGTAGACATCTGCTAGAGCTTGTGCTCTCCATGATTCCACACCAGAACAGCTGAAGCTTGTGAAACAGCTGATACACTATTGTGGATGAAGTAATCAATTTGATTCAAATCAAACCAAATGTGCTTTGGCATCTCCGTCTGGTTTGGCGATATTAACAGTCAGACCAGTCATCACTGAAAATAACTGGCGCTAAGCACAGCAACTCACTCCAGGCTGTCTTTGAAAAGCCCATCATTAACCAGGCCGAGGAAATTGCTTTAGATTCTGTCCGTGTGTTACATCAGAAGTACCGGCTCCTCCCCTCAGGCAGGCAGTTTAGAGCAGCGTCATGTAAAATTAACTGTTACAAACAAGTATTTATTTCCTTGACCATTATAGCTTGAAACAGCAGATCAGAGGGCAAAGTTTAAGGGCCAAAAGGAGTATGACTAAATAAATACATGCTAAATAAAAAAAAAACTCAATTAGTAGCACCTTCCACTCACTGGCCACTTTATTAGAAACACATACCTTGTTCTTCCACTAACTGGCCACTTTATTAGAAACATTTGAGATAGGTGTTTCTAATAAAGTGGCCAGTGAGTGGATGTACAATGTAGGTGTTTCTAATAAAGTGGCCAGTAGGTGAAAATTCTAGGCAGGTGTTTTTAATAAGGTGGTCAGTGAGTGGAAGTAAAAGGTAGATACCTACTGGCCACTTTATTAGAAACACCTACCTTGTACATCCACTCACTGGCCGCTTTATTAGAAACACCTACCTCAAACTTCCACTCACTGGCCACTTAATTAAAAACACCCACCTTGTACTTCCACTCACTTTATTAGAAGCACCTATGTTCGACTTACTGTCACTGGCCATTTTATTAGAAACATCTACATTAGCACATTTAGCTATGTTAATACAGGAGACAAAGCAAACCACTGAATGTTTTGGTGACCTCTAGTCTCATCCAAGTTAGTATCCCTTCTGAACAGGGTTAGGAATGTGGGTGGTTGAGTGTGTATGGAGGGAGAAAGAGAAAAAGAGAGGGAGAGGGAGAGAGAGAGAGAGAGAGAGTTAGGGAGATGGGTAGGTGGAAAGTGCTTACACCTGAACAGCTTTAATGAAATAAGAGCTTCTTTTATGACGGCTCATTTGAGTGCCCTCCAATCTCAGCCTAGCATGAAAATCAATTAAACATTAATTAAAGATCAAGCAAGAAGGGAATGTTTATGGGCCCGCTGACCTTAATTACGGCTAATTTCGCTTTCATGCTGCCTCGGTGAGGGAGATAGAGAGGAAGAGACAGAGAGAAAAAGAAGGGCTCGGGTTTGACAACATCCACACCTGATTGAATCTCTGCTGCATTCTTTTAGACATTTTACTTCAATTCAGTTTGATTTGTATGGAAGTTTGAAAATCCACAGATCTTTCAAAAATTCTGCATAATGAAATGGTTGAGATGTAAACAAAGAGTGGTTTGATGTGAAATGGTTGATTGTTCTTTACAGTGGTGGCGATACTGACTACAACACTAACACAAAGCCTCCTCTTAATAATTCGAAAATGGCATCATATTAGCGTTGTTTTATACACGGGTCAGCGCGAATCAAACAGTGAGACCAAACCTATGACCAGTAGAGTCCATTGTTCAAGGCAGGATGACAAGTGAAGATAGATTTGAAATCATGTTAAAGCTTTGCCATCTGAAGTAGCCAATAGCTAGTGGCCTTTTCCTGAGATGTCCCGTTCAAACATGCCATTTTTTGGATTTTCGGTAATAATTATTAATAATTAATAATATAATTTCAGTTGTATGAAAGTGCAGACACAAATGTTGCACTGACACACCTATTTTTGCAATTTATCAATGTTGCCTCACAGGCTTTTTCAGCACAAATCAGGCCTGAACAAAGACTTCATTAAAAGAAAAACGGATTGTTCCATACATGTGGACCTTATTTCAGAACATCCGGTGGTTTCCAGAGCCACTGTTTGAAGGTACATTAGTCCACCCCCACTCAACATCTAGCAGCTAAGTAAGTACAACAACTGAAGCAATTTTCGTTACTCTTTGGATCTGCCTCCCATTCCCGATCATCATCACGAAGCAAGCCCTGAAATGATGGTGCCTAGCATTAAGTTCATTTAGTGTTTGCTAGCATCGCCAAGCATTGTAATGATATACCATGGCGCAACCATCTAAGGGGTTTGGGAGGGAGTCTGATCCCTAATGATGCTACAGCCTCCGCAGCCAGGAGTCCAAGAGAGCACAATTGGCCTCGCTGTCTGGGTGGGTAGGATGACCCCCCCATCTCCTCCCCATCACCCAGCATTATGCTAGTCAGCGCAGGCATCCGTTAGCTGACGTAACAGATCTAGTGGTTGGCGTTTTCCTCCGAACGCGTTCAGTTGTCCAATGGCGTTGTGCGAGCGGCATATGGTGACACGATGCCTGTTCTAGCCTTGCCATCCTAGCACTGGTGGTATAATGTAAATTTGGGACTTGGACTTGAAAGAAGATCAAAATACTCATTACAGCCCACATCTCAGAATACAGTGCTGTCCTTTCCACACCTAAAACAATTTCATAAGACATTAATAACAGTTAATATCATGGCTAACGGCTAGTTGGTTTGCCTGCTTTCAGAAACCTAGCTAGAAGATATAAACATCAAGAGAGGGCTACTGTTCTGCTCTCCCTCTCCGAATTAATTACTGATTCGTTCTACTTGTAAATTATGATGACACTCCTTTACTTTTCACTGATTCAAGGAGATTTTCATCTCCAAACACTCTTCTTTGTATAGAAGTGCAGTTTGGCCTGAGCGAGTGTCAAACTCCCCTGTCTCTTTTGTCCAGGGAATGCTCTGCATTCGGATCTTTGCTGTCATGTTCAATGTAATGAGGCAAATATGGTCTCTACTGAAGCATTTGAGGTGGAACAGAAGGTCTGAATAATAGGCCAACTTCAGCCTCATCCCCTGCATGGGAGGTTGATGCAGTTGGCGAGTACTGCATACAAATCTGTGAAGGCTTATCTAAAGTGTTACTATAGTTAGTTGGGTAAACTAACTAGAAGCCTGGGGGAAATCATATGATAGAAGGGAGTTCTAACCTAAAGGTGGGAGGAAACAAATAAACAAAAAAACAAACAAATAAACAAAAAAAGCTTCAAATTCAGCTTAAAAGGAGACAGTATATGGTATTTTTTTGAGTGGGCTCAACTTAAAATCTCGAACTAATATAGACACTAAATACAGATCACTAAAATGTGAGTTAGGAGAATTTTGACTAAACTCAGTTGAGCTAACTAAAAAATAGTGAATTGAGTTGCCTTAAAATCCAGTGTATTTTACAGTGGAATTCAAAAGTTTGGTCACATTATATGTTTCCTTGGTAAGAAAGATAAATGTGGCAATTTTGTGCTATTTTAGTGCACAATTTCTATGTATTGGCTAAATTTACATTGGAAATAAAAGATAAAATATAAAAAAAGTGCACAGGTCACATTTTGGGTTGTATTTTCCATCAAAATGTCCATTTATTCATCAAATAAGCAGTAATTGTGCATTAAAATATGCAGAGGTTCGTCCTCTGTAGATGACGTGTCCACTTATTCTGACTTAGAAAATCAGCAAAACAGGTCATTTGACCAGGAGCACCCGAACATCCAAAAACGGCTAGTCCACCACTTAGAATGAACAGCCGTTTATGGTTTTAGGCCAAATCATGTCAGAATTGAGTACCATTTCATTTCACTAGTCAGCATTCAAAACCACCCTGAAGTCAAGGTACTGCAGGGTACAGTTTGGTACTGAAGATAAGAACTTTATGAGGTGAGTCAGAGCCTCAGAATGGAGGCAGGAATGAAAAACGTCATGCCGGTATCTCAACAGACAAACCTCTGCATTACACGTTAATGAATAATTTGAGTGTGGGAGTGATCCATCTATGACAGTCATAATAAGTCATAACTGGCTGAGCATCTAGTCTTGTGTGGTGTCCTCTGGCACAGGTGCAGGGTACCAGCTAGACATGAAGAACAAACCCAGAGAAATGAGAGCAGACCACAGGGAGCGTATAAATACATTAAACCTGAGAGAGAAATGGATGAGGGATTGTGAGAAAGGCTATGAAGGGGCCGCAGGTGTGGCGGGCAAAAGGAAATATCACCAGGAACAGCAAACACAATCTAGCGGAGAACGCCACGCGTGCCCAAAAGACCACAAGCGTTATCAAATATAACACACATACAAAAATCTCCGGTATCGTATTCTAGGGGGGTCAGGAGATGGACTGACCACAGCAGTCGGCCAGAGGAATATTGGTTTTACACCCACATGGATGTCTACTGGGACATTAGAGGTGCACTGATGAGTCGTGATGCACTGATTCGATTCCATCAATTTTGGAATGTTATAAAATATATTATAATCACCTTTAATGCTCTGTATTTTCTAGCTAAAAAATCATGATTATCAATTACATCAGCCCCCTCAAAACAGATACACGGGGTCCGCTACAGATTTGACCTGCTTTCTACTGTATATTCTATGTCTAGGGCATATCGGTATCGTAAGAAGAAAACCTTGTATCTCCAAAATGATAACTTTACAGGAAAAGGGAAAAACCTGCTTCACTTTTAATGGAAGTCATTGGAACCAGAGTTTTTTCCAAGTCATTTTGGGCCATTTCTTTGGGTCCATTCTTCATGAAATTTACATACAATATAAAGGACAACAGGCATTTTAACGTCAAAAAACTGAAAAATGACAAAAATTGAGATACATGGTTTTCTTCCGACAGCAGTGATAAGCTTTCTTAACATTACCTGTTTTAACCTGTAAAAAACTACATATTAAATAATGCCATATATAAAATATCAAGCAACCCAACATCTTTTGACAACTACTTCACCTGCCATTTTAATAGATTAGTTACTAATAACAGTAATAGAGAGTTACTGAAAATGTTTGTGAGTTGTGTGCAAACAGCGCTCCCTGCTGGCGAACTTTCAGACTGCGAATGAGTTCCACGTCCACGTGTTTTTCATCGTTACTGTAGCATTTTCATAACTCAACTAACCGCCAGGACACGTAAGCTGCACAGAAAATGCTGCACATTTTACTCTACATACGCATCATAAAAAAGACGGTTCTTCAGGGGTTCTTTAGTAAAGAAATTGGTTCTGTATAGAACCATGACCACGCAAAGAACCCTTTTCATGATTAAAGCGATCTTTGCATCGTGAAAGGTTCTTTAGATTGATGGGGAGTGTGTTTTAGATGGTTCTACATAGGACCTTTTTGAGAGCCTATATACGATACAGTTGTGTGCAAAAGTTTGGGCACCCCTGGATTTTCTTAGTGAAAGTCAGATAAAACATCCTCTATAGAGAACACACTCGTAATGTAATTTGACCAGGAGTGGGGGAGGGGCGTTCAAACTTCTGCATGCGACTGTACGATACATACATCCTTTGGTTGGAACGTGCAGCCACTGTTACTCTCACTGTACACTGGAGGTTGGATTGTTATGTTCGGGTTCATGCGATGCATTCACACGATGAAAATTATGTTACTAAATTATTGAAATTAATAAATACGTTCTGATGAGCCTTTGTCCACTCATACAGCTATAACAACTATATATAATGCTTTTAAAAATTAAATCTTTTTTTAGGTGTTAATTTGAGCAAATAAGCAAATAGGATTAATCACAATCACAACTGATTGAATCGTTTGAAAGTATGTGATCATTTGGCCAAAATAACTGTATTTGCGAGGACCATTTGTACTAGGCTTAGGATACATTTCCGGGAAAAAACATACATTTTCGGACAAAACATAAATGCAAACGTAAATGATACACTGAATCATTTCCCAAAGGATTCAACTAGAGTTGAATCATTGTGAAAACAAATCTAATTTCCTGATCAGTTCTCGAACACTGACCATTGTCTGTGGTCTGCTGCTGTAGTTGTCCACTTCAGGAATCCCAGTCTCCAAGGGCGGCGACAGTATGGACTCACTGCTGCTTCTGACCAGAAGAGGCGTGTCTGTTGGTGAAGACATTGAAGAAAAGCACAGTTAGCAATGAGTTTTCATTGATTAGCTGAGTAAGAAACTGACCTCATTTCGGTTCATTTCATCATTCAATGCATCGATTCATTGATCCGGTTAAACGTTTGTTCATGTCCACCCTGTCGTTCTTCTCAAACCCATGAGCGCACATACAGACCCTTCAAACTGAGCCAAATTCACCACGGGGAGGCAAACTCCAGATACGGGAGAGATATCACAGCTCAAGATCAAAACAGCTTTAGCAAAAAAAATCAATAAGTGCTTATACTTTTCCTGGAGGGGAAAACAGGTGAAGCCTGAAAAATAAGTAAGAAAAGAAGGATAAAACTGTTGCTAACAAACTTTCAAACTTACTAAAATACTGTATATTATTAATATCTTTGTTTGCCCTATGGCAAGGGTGTCAAACTCAACCACTGAAAGGCCCATATTAAAAAATCTCAACAAATCAGAGAGCATATCTCTTTTATTTTATTTTTAAATGACATTTTGCTGTAATCTGAACTGGGTGGCAAAACATCAACAGCAAAATATAGGTACTTGCAGTAGACCTTGAAATATTACATGAAAACTGTGAAATATAAAAAAAGTCCCACAGGAGTCTTTTTTGAACCTACCTATGTACTTGAATTAGTACATTAGTTCCATTGCAATGCATGTTGGGGACTGTAGTGCAGTGCATTATGAAATGGGTAAAACAGTCTAGTGTTAATATAAAATTTAAAAATTTTGCAGGCCAGACAAGATTGTGTTGCAGGCCTGATCTGGCCCACGGGCCTTGTGTTTGGCATATGGGGACTATAGTGTATGTTTGTCTGTTTCTCTTTTGGTCAACTGTGCTAAAAAGTAAATGCAAATAAAGACCCACTTCTCTAACCATGTGACAATGAAGTAGAGACACAACCGATCCAATACCCAGTATCAACAATGGCAGAATTACAGCAGAAAATGATATCGGAGAAAAAAAACAAATCCGACCTGATTGTGTACCTGAAATATTGCAGATTTTGTTGTAGCACAATGTGGCATAAAGCAAGGTAAAATAGGTCACCACAAAACAGTAGCCACATGTAGCCTAATGCTAATATAAGAACAGAGAATACACACACTTTCTAAACCGCTTATCCTTCTGGGTCGCAGGGGGAGCTGGAGTGTATCCCAGCGGTCATTGGGCGGAAGGCAGAATACAGCCTGGACAGCCCGCCAGTCCATTGCAGGGCAAGAACAGAGAAGAGTTGTAATTTTTGTGAGAGAGTAAATGAATGCATAGGCACTAACCACAGAAAGGCATTGGGTCATTGCCGCCCAGTCAAATCTAAAACATCCTAGTGCCTCGAGAAAAGCCATTAAACAGTCAGAAGACAGACGTAACACTGAAACTGCATTTAACAGTTTGAAAACAGTAGGAATTTTCAGCAACTGTTCTATTGTCCTGCATCCAAAGTACAGCTGAACCAAAAACGATCATTTTTATTGGAGTTAAGACTCTAATAAGACTCGAAAGCCAGGCCATAGTTGGTCTCCTCCTCTTATGTAAGGTAATCTAAGGCCATGTCCATTTGAAACTTTCGATAAATTCAATATAATTCTAAAAGTGCATGAACAAGCTGAAGAAGTTATATCAGTCAGGTTGTTGTATATGTATTTCTTCCTGCAGGGTAGTACAGTGTTTGAGGAGGAACAGCGTGGGCTGAGATGGTTTGGACAGGTGTGCTGAAGGGGCATAAACCATATACTGTACCAACCTCTCTGGAGGCAGTGACCTACGCAATGGAGAATCCAACGCACTGCGCCAACGAAAACGTGGATCAAGCAAATCGAGGAAGACCTAAAGAACTAACGGCTTGATCTCAACCAAGCAAGAACATTAGCTATGGATCATAAAAGATGGCAAAACGCTGTCAATCAAGTTTGGAATCCTGTGGCACCCACAGCAGCATACTGGTTATGAGATCGCCCCATCTAGGGACTGATGATGATGGCGATAAGTTACATGCTTCAGTTAAACACATCAGTATCAGCATCAGCCAATAATCAAGTTTCGGTATCGGGATCAATATGGGTACAAAAATATAAACCAAAACACTTTTTATGCATCTGAATTAACACAGAATCCAGGGAATCCATCATCCCCAACAACAGAGAACAGTTGGTCACGACAATGAATTCATTATTTGTTCATTTTTCTTTGCACTTTGTGATTTGCAATTGTTTCTGTCATTTCAGATGGCGTTCGCACGCTAGCAGGGACTTTCTGCTTCTGTTGTTGTGCTCTATTCTGAGTATCGAGGAGTATGTTGTGTTTTAAGGGTCACCAAACCTTGAACGTTCTTGAACGTTGCACCCTCTTTTGATATTTGGCATGAATATAGATTATAAAGACCCTCAAAGAAATCATGAAATAGATCCACGCAGTCAACTTGTTTTCCACTGTTGATCTGCTGCTGCTCAAATTGTTTGAACAGCGCAGGGGAGCACTGAAAAAACTGCATATTTAAGCTGTTTTAAAATCATTTAAACAATCTGTTAAGTTTCAGATTTTGACATGTCATTGAAGTCCTGCTGAATCTCTGTTTCTGCCAAAATCTTTGACCTTTTTTCTCTTTCAGACAAAAACTGGAAGTACCACTTTTGGCCATTTTCGTCTGAAACGTTTCAGTGACAGACGTACCGGTGCACCCCCAATCACGACGTCTCTGCAATAAACAGTTTGTCTTGACGTGATATGAATCTATTTGTGTCCAGAGAGAAACTTGGCAGTGGTAAGACCAACATAGCTGGTCATCCAACAGAATTTCTGCTGAGCCTTCATTCGAAAGGTATCCATGACCTTCCGTGAGAATCACCAAAAGGGTAAATGAAAGGCAGCTGAAGAGGATGCTGGCGAAAACGGCAAGGTCACAGTGTCATTACTTCTGCTGATTGTTCCCACAGCTTATCTATGAAGCACTGCTGTTGTTTTCTCAAGGCTAGGCTGAAGTGGCTCCTGCGTCGTGTTAAAAGATGTGCGCGTTTTCCTTTGTCGCGCTGACAGAGGCTGACAAGTGGAAGGTTTCTTCATAGGAACAGTGCAGGACTAAGAAAATGTTGCTCAGTAACTCAACAGTGCATGCTATAAAGAGAGCAATACCCTTGAAGGCAGAAAAGTGAAGGTGAAAAGCAATAGCGCTAAAGGGGCACGCAAACTTCCTGCAGCACTTACCGCTCAATCTCTTCGCCGTCAACTCTCAATCATTTCTGAAATCGACTGCCTCCTGCCAAATCAATCCCACAGGCCCTTCAATAAGATAAGTGGACCGCAATGATCGGCCTACTACTGAGTCAATTTTTTTGCAGATCTTTTAAGTTGATGAGGTAAAGCAGTGCTGAACAGTTTCTACCATCAGGAACCTCCCTTTCTTCATTTTTCCAGAGTTTTCGACTCTTGATGATGGGCCGAAAGCAACAAAAAACAGTGTTACAACTGAAACAGTTCGTTGTGGCAGCAACTTATTACATTTATCACGTTTTGACTGTCTAAGGACTCTTAAATTTACAAGCACCAAACTTTACTGGGCATTCAAGTAGAAAACTAGCATTTAATGTCGTCATGTTATGTTATGCGTAACGGTTTGATAGAATTCATGTTCCAGTCCATCAATACTCATTCACTACCATACCCAGCATCATTATTGCAGATGAGGACGTCCACCAGACTCCAGCGTTTGAAGGCACAATTAATGCTGCCCACACAATGAGCTGTGAGAGACTCCAGTATTATATTCCTGAAGGCGGAACACCTCAAAAAAAGACTTTAAAGCTCTCATGATGCTTCCACCAACAGGATGCCCACACTGATGCGATATGCTATGGTACCAGGCATCTTCTGTGGAGAAATTTCAAGCAAGTCTTTGGTGAAGTCATTTGGTGGTCCTACACCATTGAAAATCCTCTGGTTGTGCGAAGATTCAAGATGTTACCTAATTAGCTTTTTGAGTTAGGAAGTGCTACATTGGAAATTCAGGACACGTTTACAGTCTATATAAATGTAACATATTACAATTATTGCCGTATGTAGGCTACAGTATGTGCCACGAAATCCAGCATCCTTGACAACAGTGAACAGTTGGTCATCCCAGGCAGTTAATTCCATTATTTTTTAGTTATAATTTGCACACTGGCACTCTTTATTTGTAAAGTGTTAGCCTTCTCTTAAGGACTTTAAGGACTGTATATTGAGTAGGATGTCATGTTTTCAAGTGGGGTCAAAGCTGTGATTGAGTTCTTGGAGGTTGTGCCACTTCTTGATACTTAGCATTAACAGAAATTGCAATTTTTGATGTTGCTTGTAGAAACCATGAAATAGTTCCAGATAGCTGAGATTTTCACTGTTGATCTGCTGCCACTCAAACTGTTTGAACACTTCTATACTGACAGGCGCAGGAGAGTGAAAAGCATTTTCGTTTTTAATTTTTATTACCATTTGAATTAAATCATAATTTCATACTTTGTCATAGGCCTACAGCATTTTGGGGGGTCAAAAAATGTGGTCTTTTCCTCTTTCCTCTACAAATAATTGGCCAAAATTTTGGTGCATCCCTACTGTTAAAGAAAACATGCTAGCATAAATATTCCAAACGGTACATTGAAAATGACTCAAAAACCAACCTTAAGTCCTTCTTTGCTCAGAAAAGCCATTTCTGAGTCTGTCTACGTATCAACCTCTGTCAGCTCCCTGTGACACACAGGAGAACATAGAGAGAAGATAATAGCTGCCCAAACTGTGCTTCACTCCATGACCTGCAGTTCTGTGATTACTTTAAAATTCACCCTACCAGGGAATAACATCGAATCCACTGACAAAGCCTAGAAAAATGTGCCAGCAGCCCATAATCATGTGGTCCACAGAGAGGTCGTAGCTTCAGAGCTATAATCAATGGCATCTGCAGAACTATAATCAAGTTCACCACGAACCCCATGAGTCCGAGTAACAAAT